CCTGAAGAGAGGATTACTTTTTTAAAGCCGAAAGAAGAACTCAACGAATTGGGCGATGATAGCGAGGACATTTGTATGAAGGGTCTAAATGACCACTATTCCCAGAGACCAAAGGAACTTGAGGATATCTGCCTTGCAGAGTTCGCTTCCATGTACAACTTTACTGCCTCTCAGAAGAAAAAAGAGAAGGAAAGTCAGGCAGCGGGAGATTTTAATCTTGAAAGTAATCCACGTGGAGTAAACATATTTTTTTTTATTTAAGTAAATATTTGTGTCATATAATCATAATATACTTCAGGTGAGATCGATGATGACGTTGAAGATAATCCCAACCCAATCATCGACGACACGATTCGGTATGATAGTAAGTTTACAGTATCCTCGTTGAATAACTTAATTTTTGTGCCAAATTGATGTTTAATTTCACTTTTAGGCGACACATTTCTCGGAAGTCAAGCAAATACATCTTTACCTAGTACATCTTTTATTAGCAGCCAAGGTGAGCGTCCTGATTTAGAATACAAAAAAACGACAGGAAAATGTGAATAACATTGAATGTTTTTTGTTTGTTTGTTGCAGTTTCAACGCCAAACAAGGGACGCAAAGCAGCAGAGAAGCATGAATTACTAGATGGCAGTGGCACTGTTCATAAAAGGACAATTAGAAAAATTATAAGATTCCGGCACTACGGAAAGCAAGCAGATCCAACTAACTACTTCCGAGAGCAGTTAATGTTGTTCGTCCCGTGGCGTGATGAGAAAAAGGACTTGATCGACATTGATAAACTTTCAACAGCCTTGACCCACCAAGATCAGTTGAAACTAAACTCCCAACCTTTCTATTTTAACCATGATGTCGATGACGAATTGCTGCAAGGACTTCTGGAGGACGCAGAAGTTAGACAACTAGAACAAGAGGATGATCAGCCAATGGTGGAGAACGATAAAGGAGTTGAAGCGGAGGACTACTTCAATGACTTCAACGTGGATGACTTTACTCCAACAACGTCAAAAGTGGAGCGCTTCTTGCCCCCTCGCCTTGTGGATGAGAATGAATACCTCAAAATCATGAGATCTTTAAATGAACGCCAACGTTGCTTAATGTACTACACAACTTAAAGACTGGCAAAGTTCCATTTCAGGACTTTCTTAGCGGTGGGGCAGGTGTGGGGAAAAGTCACGTGGTCACGGCTATTGTGCAGAGTTTTATGAGATACTGTTCCAAGTAGTTTTTCCTTAAATTAAACCTTCCATCACTTTTACTTCCACGTGGACTAAATATTTTAAATATTCAACTATTAGATTTCCCAATGTAAATCCAGATCAACTCTGCGTCCTGGTAGCAGCACCAACTGGAAAGGCTGCCTTTAATGTGTTCGGAATGACTCTCCACTGCACTTTTCGACTTCCCCCTACACAATCTGCTGGAGGATTGGGTGACCTTCAGTCTGGAATTCTAAACACGCTTCGCATCAGACTTGAAGGTGTAAAATTGTTCATCATTGATGAGATTTCCATGGTCAGCGTTAAGCAGCTATATGATATTGACCAAAGGCTGCGTCAAATATACGAAACAGCAGAACCATTTGGTGGAAAGTCATTTGTGGTCGTTGGTCATCTCCGTCAGCTACCACCCATTGGCGGATCGTATGTCTTCAAACCACCAACTCACATCCCCCGTGGAGCTGTTGTTGGGAACCACCTCTGGGAGCTTTTTCAACTCTATGAATTGACGGAAATCATGCGCCAGCGTGACGAATGGGAGTTCTGTAAAGCCCTTAATAATATGGCTGAAGGGATAATGGATGAAGATGATATCGCACTTATTAAATCTCGTGAAGTCACCCCACAAAATCAGCCACCAGATACTGGAATCCGTCTTTATAAGACCAACGCTGAATGTCAAGAATACAATTCTGAAGTCCATGCTAAATTGTCATCAGATGGCGCAATGTCAACTGCCCACGATAAAATTCAGGGTGAGTGTTATAAAAAATAATGCAAAATTTCCACGTGGATAAAATTGAATCTAATCAAGTTGAACCTTCTAGGATCAGCCTCTGAAGCAGACAAGAAAAGACTCTTGGAATACGCCACCACACTGACCGCTCAACAATCTGACGGCCTCCCTTATCAGACGTACTTAAAAGTCGGCGCAGAGTATTTCGTTGGCACCAATGTAGATGTACAAGACGGATTATTCAATGTGGTACTTTGAAACTTATCGAGTATTCAACTAAAGCACAAGGAAAACCGACCAGGGCATGGCTGGACTTCCATAATTCTATGGTTGGAATGCATAAGCGTGCCTCCACAAGACCATATCAAGTCCGGAAAAATATCGACGAGGAGTTGGTAGCAGTAGATCGCATCACTCGCAACCTCAGCAAGACTGGGCGACATCAAGGACTTCAAATAATTCGAACCCAAATCCCTCTCGTCCCTGCCAATGGAACCACCATTGCAAAAAGCCAAGGCTCGACACACATTTGCTCGGTGGTAGCTGTAAAATGTTATTGTGACGATGATGAGCCTCCAAGGAAAAGGTCTAGAAAAAACTGGTGGTCCCGTGAGGAGCTATACGTTGCTTGTAGTCGCCCCACCTCTCGCGAAGGACTATTCATTTATGGAGAATTTACGCCTCCCTTAACTCCCGGACCGAATGACCCAGTTTCTATTGAAATGGCAAGATTAAGATCAACGGAATTCACATTTTCCATGAAATTCCTTCAAGATTACAGAGATGAATTCGAGAAAATTTACTTCCAAAACACTCAATCATTTAATGCTCATGGAGATGACATCAGGGCAGATCATTGTGCAATGGCTAGGTATTTTTAAAGTCGCCCAAAAATTACAAAGGCTAAGTCCGCGCAGTCCTATGATTTTAAATTTATGAAACTATGAATTTCAGCAATGTACTCGCTTTCGTGGAACCATGGCTACTTCCGCAAGATTTACTTGATGTCCCTGGATTTCACTACATCTACAGGAAAAACTGCAGTGGGCCAAATAGAAATTCCGAAGGAGCTCTAATAATGGAAAAAATAAGCGTGAACCAATCAACAAATATTCCGTTACTCCACGTGGATAAAACTGGTTCCTCTCACTGCTTGTTCCTTCAGTGGGTCATCTCAGGAGTAAATGTAGTCATGGTCTATAAATCCCAGAATACTCTAAATCAAGATTTTTAGCTAAGCTTGATGAAATTCTGAACCAATTGAATGGAAAAGTTCTAATTTTTGGAGATGCTAACATAAATCTTTCGAAATGGGAAGGTCGAGGACTACTGGAATTATTTTCAACGAAGAATTGTACCTCAAAACTACCAATTCAGGAGCCTTCTACAGATTACGGAACTCACATTGACATCTGTTTTTCGAATGTCGACGAAATCGAAGCCTGGTTTTATGAATCTTACTTCAGCTAGCATAAAGCTATTTGTATTGTATGGCCAAAGCCACCAATGAATAACATTGATTAGATAAACTATAGAATTTACTGTTAAGTTACACTGTAATTCTCATTTGTGATAGTAACTTTAAAACGTTTTTATTTGGTAGATTAGGTAATTTGAAGAAAAACTAATACAACATTGTTTGAAGTGTTTAATTCTGTAAGAATTTAAATAATCGTATTTCTGTAACTTAAAATATTTCAAATAATAAAAATTCTGTAACCGAAGTTATTTTAAATAATTGAAATTCTGTAACTGAAAATGTTTTGAAATTATTCAGGCTTGTTCTCATTAAACCACTGTTTGAGTTCTTCAGCTTCGTACAGGTCTGCTTTGGCCTGTAGTTTAAAAATTCGAGGCGGTTAGAATAAAGTTCCTAATTAATTCTTAATTAAAATTCCACGCGGATTATACCCAAAGTAGACTTCCCGAGAAAATGTTCAAAGTGCAAGATCCCATGAACGACAAAGGATATCCATTCCTAATTGCTATGACCGTGAAAATTTTCTCCTCAAATTCTTCAGCTTGTTTGCCCCACAAAGTTACCACAATCTGGAAAACACTCAATCGCATCAAATTAAATTCATCTATAAACTTGTGTTGAAGCAAGGAATATCTACCGATTGTTTTGTTTGGTCGGTAAGGGCCAAATCCCGTTTAACGGTATCTTTAACAGTTTCCAAACCCCAAACATTAACGAGTATGCCAAGAGTATCTAAATGAAATGATTCGCATGAAATAATTAAAAGTTTATTCCTCTATAAATAGTTGGCCCAACAAATACTTATGCGCTATACCAATTGGCGATTTGTCCGCTTTTTTCAAAACCTCCTCGATGTTCAAGAAATTAAAAGGAATTGCAGGCTGTGGATTTTCATCTTCATTCAATTCCGTAATTATGGAGGAATTGTTGAGTACAATTTCACATTCATGGCTGGTTGAGTTTCGATAGTTGGGATTTACTTCTTTTGCGTCAAAGTGTTCCAGACTAAAGGCCTTGTTGAACTTTGAAATAAAACCATCCGCGTATATAATTACTTAGACCTTAATTTAAAAGAATAGACAATTTAGGGGGCACCTTTATGATGTCGAACCACTTTCCTGTTGCATCTGCGTAGCCCAGTACAGCAATTTCTCCAGATTCGTCCAAGGCATTGAACTTAAACATCTGGTAACCATTTTTTCCCACAATTTTCAAAGACTTGAAGGTGACGCGGAAGAAAATGGTATTCTTCAATCTTTGAAGCACAATTTATGCTTAATTTAAAGTTTGCACAACATTAGTTTTATTACTTAATAGTATTTCAAATCGTACCCCTTTCCTTGCTTGATATCAACAATATTCAGTTTTTCAAATTTTTGCGTCTTCTCCGATGTAATTGACCAAAAATTAAAATCAAGTTTCCTTTTCATGGATGAAGATGGTGTCGGTCGGGATTCTGGAGAATTGGTTTTAGGTGTGCCGAACTCCCCCCCACTTGGCTGGCTTCCTGATGTATCCATGTCCGATTGTTCCTCATACATTTAGTACGCCGCTCTATTAAATCCACGTGGACAAAATTCCTGCAAATCGTTTACATAAATTTATGAAAGGCAACTTATCCTTAGTAGTCAATGCTGGCTTATCTCTGTCTGTGTCTTACCTGGTCCAATAATTTAATTGATAATGTTTAATAGTCAACAAGTTGGAGATTCAATAATCTTAATCTGGTGAAAAATTGCGTAAACAGCCAACAGGGAGCTTCTTTTTGGAATGAGCGGCGGAGTAGGACAAACTGAGATTTATGAGATGGATTAATTTTAATGTCAATTCTGAAATTTCTTAAAATAAAGAGAAGTGAATGGTCCACGTGGAAATCGAATTTAAATCAAACATATGGTTTATTGGTGTTTAATAAAGTGAAAATCACAAAAATGTATTCTCATGTAAAGCAAATGGATGAAAATTAATAACACAATGCGTCCTCCCTCACGATACGTGTGAAAATCTTCCAGTTTTTCGTAAAGACGGTTTCAAAAGTACTCATATCAGCAGCCACTACAAGGACTTCTTATGCTCTTGAGATAGCTACGTTAAGCCGATTCGGCGACCGAGTAAATCCTACATTCTTTTCGCTGTTTGAACGCGTGAAGCTGACAATTATTATAGCATTTTCGCGTCCTTGATAAGCGTCAACATTAAGGACCTGTAGGTAAATTTTCAAACCATCAGGATACTTGATACTTTGGATGAATGGCAATAAATTTATAAACTTGCAAACCTGTATCGCAAGTTCAGGGAATGAAGTTTTTAACATTCGGAGGATTTCCAAATTCTATGCCTCGTACAAGGTAAGAATTGTAATCAAGTGTGCATCGACTCCCTTTTGCAGTAATTCCCCCACAAATTTAACGACAAGCTTAGCTTCCCCATAATTTTTGTAACTTTGTCCGATCTGTAGAAAAATAGTATCATTAGTTCCACGTGGATATTAGTTTATTGTTTTGCAAGTTGGTTAACCTTTTGTTCTGGAAATTTGTGGTCGAGGAGCACCAATGCCTGTTGTCCAATACTGGATGGAATTTGAGACCGGCGTGTTAGAACAGAATCGGCATCTAGTAATTTGCCATCATATGTGACCGCAGATACAAGTTTTCGGATTAAAGGAGCCATTCGGTACTGAATGTTCAGCATTGTCCATGGTGGAAGTTGACCTTTACTGTTAGTACCCACGTAGAAAGACGAAGCTAGTTCCAATGCGGATTTGCTTAACCCGGCGTCCGTAGCACTCCGAGATTCCACGTGTGGTTGTAATTGAAAGTGGTCCCCAGTAAGGATGATTCGCTTTGGGGAAAGTTGGTCGATAGTGATGAGGGATGGCTGAGTCGCTTGCCCTGCTTCATCCAAAATTATAGTTGTGACGGGTTTTGTTTTGCTGAACGACTTTGCACGTCCGTCCCCAAGGGTCGCAATCGTATAAACTTGAATGGAAAACATCTGTGCATGCATCCGCTCAATTTTGGCAATATGACACTCCAATGCCTCCCTTTCTTCCCTCTTTAGCATGTGCGATTTTCCAGTTTTCCAGGCTGTAGGTCGGAAATATCAGGCTAATCTTAAAAACTTTGACATAAATTTAATTATTAAATAATTATCCTCACCATCCAATGCAGGAGTGAACTCAGAATCAACAATTGATGTATCCAAAGTTAACTATACCAGATCTCGGAGCACATCATAAGGCTTTTTTGCGGGATTAAATTTGCAGCAATTTTGCCAAGCAGCCTGTTCTTTGCTCTTTGATTCCACGCGGAGAACACTCAGCGGAATGTTTGAGGACATCATAAGGGTTGAAATCGTCTCTGCAAAATTGTCCGCCGCCTCGTTACTCGGAGCACAAACGACAACGGTACCCACCTCCAATGTGGCTAAGGCAATAGCAATTACACTAGCATTGTGAGTTTTTCCGATCCGTTCAAGAAGTGTCTGCTTGAAAGACGTGAATGGAACATATCCTCCATTTTCTCTGTACAAAGCTAAAAAATAAAATTAAATATTGATTTCGTAATACTCCACGTGGACTCTTTACCAAGGAGATTCAAGATACGTCCGTCCTTCCCCATTCCAGTTCCCAGGTTTGTGGTACAAATGGTTGTGTTGAACGGGTTGGAAATCATTGGTGGAGGGTTACCAAGTCTTGTGTTTCCGGAAATGTATACTGGAATTCAAGAAATATATTTATTTAATAATAAATCATTTTAAGGCGAATAACTTAATGGCTTTATTAAATTGAACGTACGCATAGCTTGGATTGCTTCAAGAGATGTCTGATATCGAATACATAATTCGCCATTTTGCAATTTTTTGGTTGGATAGAATATGGTAAAATCACCCAATGGTTCGAGGATTTGTTTAGTCAGTACCTGAAATACAGTATAATCTGAAATGTTTATAATATTTCACGAGCATTTATTCCGTGGATTCTTACCGGTGAAATTATCAGAATCTTTTTAAATGCGATAATTCTTCCCATATCAGCTATCAAATCAGGATGGAAGACTAAAAACAACTTATTATAGTTAACCCCGTGAGATTTGTCCCTCTCTCTTCTAGCCAAAGGTGTAGCCAATTGCTTAAACCGTCCAAGATCGTCCCTCGGCTCTCCGACATCCTTAAATAATTTAATTAATTAAAATTTAATATTGAATATAATTTATAATTCAAAACCTCTAAAAAAAGTTCTTAAAAAAGTGATTATTGAGCAAGCTTACTGGTTTAATACAAATATTCCTCCCTTTGAGCTCCTCCCCCCTGGAAATTTCTTGAAGAAGAGCGAAACTTATAGGCTGAAAGTCCGAAACAACCCCCTTTCGCTGATTTCCATCTCTTTTGAACAATTGAAAGTTTGCGGGTTGCAAATAACGGCCCCAAACCCTGAGCGCTTCCTCCTTAAATTCTTCTTCTGTCAGGTCAAATCTCAAATTTGTGAGGCAGAAAGCCGTCACGTTCGCCATTTTGGTAAAACTCCACGTGGATCTTATAAAAATATGCAGCAATTAGCACATACATTAAATGATGTTAAAACCATAGATCTATTACTCTTACTTCACACTTACCTTCGTTTAGAAAAATTTCCACGTGGAACTAGACTACTACGATAACTTTTTTAGAATTAAATTTAATTAGTAAACTCAAGAGTTGATAGCTGTTTACGGATCGAGTCAGACAAAAACAAGTGATTTGACTTTGGCTAAAGATTTGGGGAACATGAGATATATCCGCTTTGAGCTCCTCTCAAGACTGACTTGTAAATGCCGTTTCTGTGCTGTGCTGTACATATTCTATTAGTTGAAGAACACACAAATTCTTATGCCACACAAATTTGTGGTTTCACCCCTTGGTTACATGCGTTGTAACGGTTTATTTGCTTATGAACCGGAACGAAATGCCAACAATTCTTCTCCTTCTCACATTACAATGGACGACACAGAAAAGTGGTGGGGTAAATAACATTAACGGCATTACTTATCAGTGCTACATAATATGGTAATGATTATTACCATCATCAGCATTTCTTATATTTTATTTATAGCTGGTGTTCATCCTCAACAATTCGGGCGTACCATGCACGGACGTGCATGAATGTTTACGAAAAAAACAAATTCTGTAGAATTCAACTTTCTATGATCTGTTTTTTAGACGCTGATTTTCTGAGGTGAGCATTTTCGGATTCCTTATAATTATTAATAGTTATTATTAGTTATTATCAGTTATTATATTTTTTTTAATAGTTATGCATTATATAAGCTTTGCATGGGCACATCTCGCTTGCATTTTAGTGAAACATTATCGAGTACTGTTAAAACACATTTTGGTAATTATGTAAAAATAGTTTAAGAGTTCCGCACTATGAAGCATTTTATTAAGCTAGCGTTGTCCAGCATCTGTGGGATATCTGTTTAATGTATTTTGAATATTCTATAAAAAGTTCAGATTATTAAACGACTACTTTGCCACGAAAGTCTAACCGTCTCACTCCTTCCCATGGGCAACCTAAAAGGCTACGAATTGACGCTATATTAACAACAGACCTGTCACGAAGAAGTAATTCAACAAGTATTCATGAAGAAAAGGAATCTTCCCTATGCTTCTGTGGCCACTGTTGTGCCGTATTTTACATGGTGAAAATTTCTAATTTCGTTTCCAACTAGGAATCAGTTAATTCCAAGAATGGTCTATTCCAGCCCACTCATTATATCTAAACTAGATGAAACCAAAAACATACTCCGTACACATGGTTACGAAGTCTCAGTCCCTTGGTATACGTTATTCAAACTCCGGATAGCGACCTGTGTAAAAGTGGAAAACAGCATCGAGGTGATCCTGAGAATTCCCATAAAACCAACTAGGAATATAGATTATTAACCCTCACCCCGATTCCTTATTTTGTGGAGGGAATGCGCTGCTCCGTTGCGATCCTTTCAAATTACGTTGAGGCATTGGATATCTGTACTCATAATATGCCCCCATCTTATATCATCATGTACATAGTTCGGTTATAAGTTGTGAGTCACACTAAGGCTCAGGAGTAGAAGGTCACTACTTGTCGGGCCCCGATTTCGATCTTCTTTGGATATGTTGCAGCACTACATGAGTGTAGAAAAAGTGAAGGAGGGTTAGACTCCATGAGCCCATTTACGCCCGCCACACCCCCTCAAAGGCGCCCAAACCCCCAGAGTTGCCGCACTAAAATCATCGCCAAAAATCGAGTTTTGGTCAGATTTTCAAAAAGTTTACATTTTTGTGATCCCAGATAGTTGCTCTATCATATCCAATAGCAAACTCAATTTTTTTGAAATTTTCAATATTTTCGAAGATTTTCTTACCAAGGGTATGTATTGAAAAAATTCGAAACTTCAAAAAAGTTGAGTTTGCTATTGGATATGATAAAGCAACTATCTGGGATCACAAAAATGTAAATTTTTTGAAAATCTGACCAAAACTCGATTTTTGGCGATGAATTTAGTGCGGCAACTCTGGGGGTTTGGGCCACTTTGAGGGGGTGTGGCGGGCGTAAATGGGCTCATGGAGTCTAACCCTCCTTCACTTTTTCTACACTCATGTAGTGCTGCAACATATCCAAAGAAGATCGAAATCGGGGCCCGACAAGTAGTGACCTTCTACTCCTCGGCAATGTGTCAAAGACAGACCTCGGAACAATTACTCATCGTATAGGTGTCCGACATCCCTACCTTGAAAGTTTGGGATTAATTTCAGACAAACGTACCTTTGTTTACTGAATCACTAATACAGACTACATAAAGGTTAAAGAATTGTACAGAACCGTAGCTATTTTCATTTTTAGTTTGCTTGGTTCCTTAAAAACTTCGCATAGTTCTGAGAGATCGTCACACTCCATTTCATGTGCTCATCGTACACAATATCAAAGACTGATTACTTAAAAAACTGTTTAATTCTGCATAACTGCGCTCAGGATCTAACACTTGACTCCAAAATTAGAGGAACTTAAATCAAAATAGATTCAAGATCTCTGACCAAAATGCATGCACTTCACACCGCGCTGAAGAATAAAAATTGGTAATTAAAATATTGTTAGGACACTAATTTGCCATGTGTTATGTTAGTTTGGGCAATCGTGAATAATCAAGCATTATGCTAATGTTAACGCCCTGTAACTACGTGAGGACTAATGGATTGTTAATGTCAGCATGTGTGTAAATTATTTTCACCATTAATGCTGAAATTAGAATTGGAGCCAGAAAATAAAGCTTTAGGAGAACATAACGACATAAATGGCGAGCCTTATAGAAGAAGCTCTATGCAGCGACTTAGCGACTTAGAACACCACGGATTTAAGTCGTTTCGAAATTTCCAACGTGCTCATACGTTCATGAGCTTATAAACAAACGAATGCAATAGTTGGCTGGAATTATGGAGCAGCATTTCGATTATTAATTCTGTTGTCAAATTAAACAATATGAAGAGTTCCAACGATTATGAAAAAAGTTGTGGAAACATACAGAATTTTGAATCATAGCCAACACCCAATTCTTGAATGCACATATGTTATGAAGCGAAATATTCATTAGTGCAAAATATCGCTCATTTCATATTTTTACCACACTCTTAAAAATAATGTTACCAATGCGAAAATGGAACGCACTCCTGATTTTCCTATGTGAGTAAACTTTACGTGTAATTAAGCCAACGTTACTCCGGATTTAACATACCTAGTTTTCTCAACACAGATTATTGATTATTTGGTAGCATTTGGTAGCATTATTTTTAAGAATGTGCCGTGCACTAAATATGATTTGCTAAATTATAATTTACACTCCATGGCTCCACGCATATTTTACCATAAATAGTTGCTACATATATCCACGTACCTATTGTGAAGTTCCGTTTATGGGGGGTTGACTGCATTGATGGTGGTGATGAGGAAGATGAGACGATCGTCGTCGTCGTTGTGGTGTGTGCGTAATAATTGGGAGGCGAGATGAGACTTGGTTGCACTTTTCTTAGAGAGGTTTTATTTATTACTTGTACAAACAGGCAGAACTCTGCCTCTCTCAATAATATTGGGAGAGGTAACATGCAGTAGCACAGAATACTTCCTCGACCCGTCCTCCACCGTTCCCCCATTGCTGTCGTGTACTGCCGTGACTGCTGTTTATATATGGTTGATATACCTATTTGTAACCTACATATTGAAAGAGAGAGTGAGAGAGATAACAATGAGATGACTTGCAATAATTGCCTCACTGCCCAGAGGCGATCACGATATAAAACTAGAATGTGACAAATGTATCTGATTAAGATTGCACATAAGGAAAACTTCTCCTTGATTGTGTTGCACTCAATGTGCAACAATCACTTTCACAAAATAAACCTGTTCTTTACACTATTTACAGCAATGCGAAGGATTATTATGGGAAGAAAAGTAGCTTAACTATTTAATAAACCGGGAAAGATGACGGGTTTCTTCAAATCCAGGTTTACATTCGGCAGAATTATGTTTTTAGGGATGCTTCTGAAATTATGTATACATGTCCCAGATGGCGATCTGAAAGCAAGGTTTTTGTTAATTACTAATTAAAGGTCGTAAAGTTTCATAAAATGAGATAAAATTGTGTAAAATTTAAACAAAGTTGAGTCAAGAATGTTCATTGGTTTGACACATTAAAAACAACCTAATTGTTGGAGAAGTTCTAAACAATTGTTGTCAGTGTACTCGAGTGGTGTAGATTTTGACAATTTTATTTAGAGTGTAAATATGTATGAAGCTTACGAAAATGTGTGTCCTAGTGGAAATTTTAATCAGAGGACAATATCTAATTTAGGTTGAGAAGACCTGGAAATAGAAAAGGGTGGATTGTACATGTCTGAAAATCGAGTAAGTAGATTATGACAAATGGAAGGAAATTTTAAGTTACTTACACTCCAAATATCACGCGTTCAATTAGTTTTTTAGGTTGATGTAACATCCTTCTCAGGTTTTTAAATTATTCATGTACATACATATAAATAACTCATGTAGGTGTTGATATTCCTGAAAACAAAGATTTTTGAAGGTTCAGAAATGAATTTGTATAGCGTGGTATGCACCTATTTAATTAAGATAGATATATACAATGAGATCGTGTTTTTTCGCCCTCGGACGATTTTCAAGTTTGATAGCTTAAAATTTTCGTAATTTTGTGTACATGAAGAATCTGTAATAATATTGGGGAGGTAGATTGGTGGTTTTCGAGATCTGAGCCAAAATGTGTGAATTTTTTGCAAATTTTCGATTTTGACTCAAACTAGTCCAACTTTTGGTCAAATATCGCGGGAAATAATTTTAAAAATTATTTTATAGTAGAATTTGGCCGCTGCCTCGATTTCGGATCCTAATTTTTCAATATGTTGAACTTTGCAAAATAATTGCATTTTCCGTATTAGTATGCCACGATCGAATTATGAAATTTTGGTTAGAATTTTAAGTTAATCCATAGATCTAGCGGAATCGCTTGATACAATCCGTTACTTATTCCGAATCTTTAAACAAACTGATAATGATGTTAATAGCCGGCTAAAATTGTAAACTTTGGGAACACAGTTGCAACACATTTTGCAACAAAATTTGAACGAAATCTAAATTAGAATATGAGTAAGTAGTTTATGTTAATGTTACAACGGATTTCTGATATGTCCTGTTGCCAATTCAGAATTTTGAAATTAATGCAAAATTTTGTTAACCACTCGGAATTTTGTTAATGCCGCGTGGACTTGTTACATGCACTTTCAGAAAGTGGTGTTAGACAAGTCAACGCAGCATTAACAAAATTCCGAGTGGTTAACAATACTTTGCATTAATTTAAAAATTACGAATTGGCAACGGGACATAACAGAAATCCCTTGTGATGTTAAACAGAGACTCCTTATTCATATTCTCATTTCGATTTCGTTCAAATTTTTTTCAGAAATATGTGTGGTAACTGGGGTCTCCAAATTTAAAGGCTATATAATTACAAACATCGAAGAATTACATATTTACATAATTTCGAACTATTAACAACATTCCCAGTTGCTTTAAAAAATTCGGAAGAATTAACGGGTTCGATTTAACGATACCCTTCTATCATTAGACCTATGGCTTACCTTAAAATGCTAACCAAAATTCGATAATTCGATCGTGGCATACTAATACGGAAAATGCAATTATTTTGCAAACTTCAACATATAAGAAATTTGGGGTCCGAAATCGAGGCAGCGGCCAAATTCTAGCGCAAAATAATTTTTAAAATTATTTCCGCTGATATTTGACCACGTTTGAACGATTTTGACATAAAACTTAAAATTTGAAAAAAATTCGCACATATTGGCTCAGATCTCGAAAACCACCAATGGACCACCCCAATATTATTTCGGATTTTTGATCTACTCAATATTACGAAAATTTTAAGCTATCAAACTTGAAAATCGTCCGAGCGCGAAAAAACACGATCTCATTGTATATATCTATCTTAATAATACGGAAAATGCAATTATTTTGCAAACTTCAACACCTTGGAAAATTGGGGTCCGAAATCGAGGCAGCGGCCAAATTCTAGTGTAAACTAATTTTTAAAATTATTTCCCGCGATATTTGACCAAAAGTTGGACTAGTTTGAGTCAAAATCCAAAATTTGCAAAAAATTCGCACATTTTGGCTCAGATCTCGAAAACCATCCAACGACCACCCCAATTTTGTTACGGATTTTTGATCTACTCAATTTTACGCAACTTTTAAGGTATCTAACTTGAAAATCGTTAGAGCGCGAAAAAAACACTATTTCATTGTATATATCTATCTTAATCATTATTTAACGGGGTACATATGTACAGGGTGGTTTAAATGTCACGCTACAAAGGAAAATTTTTCAATGGGAAAAATTAGTAAATTTCCATTAGTTACCGAAATTGTGTCTCTGAAATTCAACATCTTAAGAATTTTGCCATCAGTTTTCATAATAATTAATAAAAATTTCAATCCCAAATCTTGTAAGTATTGGAGATTTAGGGGCTTTTCCCATTGAAAAAGTTTCCATTGTTGCGTGACATTCTAACCACCCTGTGATTCTACCGGAACTGTAAATTAATTGCATTACCGTCTAGTAATGTTATGTTAATACAAAATTTCCCACTCAAAAACAAACAACTCCCAATTCAATTCAAGGTATTTCCAAAACAGTATCCGTACGGAGTAAATATGTACATACATACATATTTATGTAACTCAACTTTATTTTTCGCATTGTATGCATGCATGTAAATATGTTGTAGCACTTAATAAGTTTACGTACCCGTTTGAATATCAGCAATTTTAGTAAATGTATTTAGAAAACAAAACTTTAACTGTTACACTTTCCACTGGTAAAAAATATGTAAGGTGCAATATTAAACTAATTATATTTCGTTATACCATATTTCGTTAAAAATGAATGCTCAGGTTTTCATACGTAAATCGGAATTAAGCCTCACTCGGCCCAATATGTTTAAATTCGTCGTTACATAGGCAATATTTATCAAAAAGAGGTTAAAAATGGGATCACATTTTACAAACTTTTTACAATTTATATATCCCTAAGAAAACAACAACCTGTTGCCCATTATGAATGAAATGTGTACTAAAGAAATCCTCAATAGGGTACAGTCCACTGAGGAATATTTAGTCAAATTCATAATATCGTAGTCAAGCCGGGCTGTGCATTAAGGATGTGAAAAACTTATACCCCACTGGGCAAGGCATGTGTGATATGGCGTCTGTTAAATGTAAAATGATGTATTTATGAAATTGTTTTATGTATTTTTGTAAATTGTTGAATATGCGTGTAAGATTGCCCCGTGACGTGGTGGTGGTTGCCATGGTGACGTCAGGGTGGGATTTTTGGGTGCGCGTCGTTCTTTGTTATAAGTCGTAGTAAGTAAGTAGGTAGAAGAATTCTACACAGTCGAGTTTTAGTCGTTGTCAGAGTCAGACATTTTGGATTTTAGTCGTCGAGGTAGGAAATCAAGAGTAAGAATTATTAATTCTTTGTTATTGATGTCCACGATTAATTTGTCGTTATAGTAGTCACCAATCAACTCGTGTTAGTGCAGAGCTCTGAATTGTGTTGACAATTAGTAATTTGTTGGAAATAAAATCTAGTTTAAGTAGATAAAATAATCGTATATTCACTCAGTCACTTTCTTTAATTGCAACGAGCAAGGCACAATTAAATATTCGTAAAGACACTATACTCCGGGTAGGTGATAGCTTGGTTTTTACATTAGTGGTGACCTCGACGTGATTGCTCGTTGGGTCAGTTTTAGTTGAAAGTGGACTAGTTATAGTGGTCAGTGAGTTGTGACCTTTTGAGTGAATTAGTGTACGTGCAAAGACTGTTCCGTGGAAATCCTGTGCTATTGTTGCTGTCTGGAAGAGGAGCAGATTGAATTGGTGTACGTGCAAAAAGTGTTCCGTGGAAATCCTGGGCGATTGTTGCTGTCTGGACGAGGAGCAGATTCGAAGGAGAGGATTCACATCAAGCCTTGCCTCATTGAGGATCCGACCCTGAGTATTCGGGGGCTGTTCAAGTGATACCTTTCAAGTTTTTATTGTTGCTGTGAAGTAGTCCGTGAGGAAGGAGTGACCGACCAGATTGAAATCGGCGTGTCCTACCCGAGAGGAACTTCAACTTTATTCGTCTATTACTCAATTACTGTCTTGCCTCGTTGAGGGCCCCATCCTGAGCGTTCGGGAGCCATAGAGGTCGGCATTGTTGCTGATTGAGTTAATAAGCGTGTACTGTTCTAATTGTTTTTGTTTGTTGGATTTGAGATAGCATCATGGATCGACTGAAGAAGGCGAGGGCTCCAGTTCGAGCTTCCATTACCAAGACGGTGGATGGTGTAGTTGCTGAGTTGGCGAAAGATCCGAAGGACTCAATGGAACTTACCATCAAATTAAGGAAGTTGGAATCCCTGCAGACGTCGATCAGAGAACATGATGAAAAAGTGCTCGCCCAGATGTTGGATGACAATTGCACGGCGGAGGCGTATGGGGAGGAGAGTGCATCATGTGAAGTGTACTCAGACAAAATCAGTGCTGCGATTTTGAAAATTGAGGACTCTTTATGCAGAACTGGGATTTTTGGGTGCGCGTCGTTCTTTGTTATAAGTCGTAGTAAGTAAGTAGGTAGAAGAATTCTACACAGTCGAGTTTTAGTCGTTGTCAGAGTTAGACATTTTGGATTTTAGTCGTCGAGGTAGGAAATCAAGAGTAAGAATTATTAATTCTTTGTTATTGATGTCCACGATTAATTTGTCGTTATAGTAGTCACCAATCAACTCGTGTTAGTGCAGAGCTCTGAATTGTGTTGACAATTAGTAATTTGTTGGAAATAAAATCTAGTTTAAGTAGATAAAATAATCGTATATTCACTCAGTCACTTTCTTTAATTCCAACGAGCAAGGCACAATTAAATATTCGTAAAGACACTATACTCCGGGTAGGTGATAGCTTGGTTTTTTACAGCGTCATTGTTTTGAGATTGCAATGAGTTTTCGCAAATTTGCTGAAATTCTATTCGCACTAGTAGCCAGGCTTCATGTTACCGTCTTTGCAGTGTGTAACGGTTCAGTTTTCACCCTTCAAGGTGAGCGAATGCTTCATTCATTAAACGTTTTTAGGAATAAGAGGCTCCTGATTTCGGTGAACAATTACTGATGCTGAACTCCGTTAATCACCTACATAGATATTTTAACGGTGTTGATTTAATTCGTCCTCATTTTTTCTGTCAAAATTTGAAAACTTGCACCTTAATAAGCGGTGAAAACTTGGAGGTATTTTTTTTATTAGAGACACATTAAATAGTTAGATAGATGTATAGTTTTCAAAAAATTTGTATTAATCATGCCCCTAACTCTTTTCTTTTGAATGTGTGCCAATATTCGTAATTTTGTGTCGGGTTTTAAAAAAGCAGTCAAGACGAATTAAATCATAACCCTTTATATATATGAATAACCTACTCCCTTAGGCACTTTACCGTTACGTATAAATACGTATGTAAGTCTCAACAGCATACAAAAATATAGTTTGCGTAAATTATGCTAAATATTTGTTTTGCAGCTCCA